CCTCAGCAGTGCCCAGGAGGTGAACTGGCACCTCTCCAGCTACCAGTCCACCTTCCATGCTTATGGTCCATGCTGGACTTGAACCGGCCACCCTCCGGTTCCCAAGCCAAATCCTTCTGGACTGAGCTACTGCTGCCCTGTTGTTGTGTTATAAAATAATAAAAAGTCTGGGGAGAGGACATTCAATATTTGTATTTGTTGAACAGTTCAGTATCTGGCCTGTAGTTACTGCTCTCTGCCTGCAGTGGGCAGTGCATGTGTCAGTTTCAGGTAAGAAGTGTTTGACCTCTGACCTCCGTGGGACAGGACCTGCAGGTATGGCTCCAGGACACTCATGTTGACCTGGTACTCCTGTCCGGAGATACAGAACTTCCTCCAGCGGCGCCCCCTGGTGTCCACCTGGTCCAATCCCATCAAACTATCTGAATGCTCCACTGGGCTTCTGACCACGCCCACAGCCCCACCCCTCTCCATCTGAGAGAGGTCATCTGTCAGAAAAGGTCAGAGGTCACATGGTCACAAAGAGACAAAAAAACGAGCAGCAATGACAAAATAAATCAGCTGATGTCTGACTCACCATCCCACTCCAGCTCGCCGCTGTCAGGCAGAGTCCCGGTCTCACTGCCCGACGGTGTCTCCAGCGCCTCCAGGTTGATGTCCAGTGACGGCGTGTCGTCTGGCGTCGCAGACAGAGCGGCAGCTGAGAAGCCATCGTTACTGGGGTCATGAGAATCTCTGCGGCTCAGAGTCAGGCTGAGAGACGGGGCCGCCAAGCGCTTCTTGGCCCCACCCACAGCCGTACCTGATAGGGCGAGGCTGGTGGATGGGGCTACTTCGAGCAGGGGTGGGGCAGGAGAAGCAAAACATTAAAATAAATAAAGATGAAATTAATAAAACATTATTTTCTGAATCTGTTTGTCTGAAATATTTTGTTGATTCATGTTTGAACTTGTTTCATGTTGTGAGTTGATCAGAATTTAAATTATTCATGGTCTCAGGATGTTCAGCTACTCACCTCCTGACGGACGCTCTGCTTCCAGACTCCCACAATCCTCTGGGAGAGGCCTGGATCAAACCAATTAAGTTGATTCAAACTTCATATCAATCTAAATATTTGTAAATAATTCTCATCTTTCGTTTCTCTACTTCTTTCACAGTGGCGCCGCGAGCAGCACGTGGTCATCAGTGTTTACATGTCTCGTGTCTGAGCGTCCTTGTTTGTGTTTAACAAGCTGTGGTCGGACTCTGTGTTTCTGTTGTCATGGCAACAATTGGACTGATGGATTCAGGAGACAGATCTAAGACAGATGAGGAAACAACCTGAGGAGGTCAAAGGTCAAACATCACCGACCTGGGGAAACCGTCATCCTGCCACTCCTCCCTCAGCTCCATGTCCTGGATGTTGGGGGGGTCTGAGGCCCCCACAGGGCCCCTGCAGGAACAACAGAGATCATCACCGTCATCAAGTGAGGACCCCACAAGACATGAATACCTACCAAACACACACTCACACACACCAACCAGTCTGACCACTCTGATTCACCTGAGCAGGTGAGGGGCGGGGCTCCATTGTTCCTCTGTTTGTTGTTAGTGAAGCAAAGTGACACGCCCACTCAGATAACCCCACCTCTGTGTGCCTGTGTGTGTGTGTGGGGGGGGTCATGTTTCCAATGTGTTACCTTCAGGGTCCGACAGGACGAACAGCTGCGGTTCTGTGATTCTAAACCAGGAGAAGTGTCTGATCAACATGGAGGCCACAGATCGTTTCTACTTTAAACACACATGGTTCCGACTCCTCAGGTTTCTCYTGATGTTTCATTCTAAATACTCGTGAGGTCTGAAACCTCACTGACCCTCCACTGACGACCTCCATCACTTCTGTCCCCCATGTTGGTTTTCACCAGCTGACCCCCCCTCCTGCACCACATGATGAGGGATGTTCATCTAAAGAGACGTCAACGTTACTTTGGTTCAGATTCAGGTCACATCTGTTCAGACTGAGCGTTTCAAGAAATCACATCTGATTTAGAGCCACGTGTCCCCAGGTGTCCCCAGGTGTCCCCAGGGGACTCCAGGGGACTCCAGGTGTCTCAAAGTACCGCAAGGTGTCTCCAGATGTATCGTTAGAGGAAGCTGTAGCACCTAGCAGCAGACCCTGATGCATTGTGGGTAATGTAGGCATCAGATATTGCACAGAGAAAAACTGACGATATGAACGATTTCAGACTTCCTGTCTGATGACCCACAGCAGACAGGAAGTCAGCTGACATCACTAACATGGCACGACTCATTCACTGAGCGTGTGAAGAAAGAACGCAACACGACAACAACACAACTTCAAACAAACGTCCTCTTTCTTCTGGTACAGGAAACACAGTGTTACTTTTACATACCTGTCCGTGTGGCCACTCATGATGTCACGATGATGTCACAGCGTGTTCTGACCAACATGTATGTGCCTGCTCAACGATGTGTGTGTGTCAGTGTCACAGCTTCCTCTCTCTCTGAGGGAGTTCCCACTCGGCCGCCCTCTCTCTCTTTCTGCTCAACAGGTTCAGTTACATTTCACAGCAGAGCTGCCGTCTGATTGGTCGACACTCACCTGCTCTTTGTAGACAGGTGAGACAGGATATCAGATTCCTCTGACTTTATAAATATCAGCCAATCAGCTGCTAGACGTATTTAAAGAACAAGGACCTGACGGGAGTCCTCAGGGTCCTAATGCTGACAAATGTATCATGTTTATATACAGTCACTGATGGTCTTTACATATGATCAGATTATTGATCATATTAACAGATTCATCAGATTAAAGAACAGAGTTCATGTATTCATTTGTATAAAATACATCTTACTTGAGAAGTTTTAATGTCTCAAACATGTTTTTTGTTTTTTCGTTGAGTTTTGATTCCACCATCAAGTACAAAATAACATTTATTACATTATAATGAAAAGAATTTCTTGTAAATGAAACTGTTTTCAAACAGAAGACACATAAGTAACTTCCTCTTACTGCAAACTCATAATTTCCTGTTCCTGTTTCACAATAAAAGTCTTTCCAACCCTTCAGTCCTGCTCTTCAGTCAATGTCTTATTGTGAAATATCCGCAGGGAGTGTTACAACATAGAAGAATCAGATTGATGTTGAGATCAGGCAGGTGAGGGCAGAGGAAAGGTGAGGACAGGTGAGAGACAGGTGAGGACAGACGACAGGGAGATAGGTAAGGATGCGGGGGACAGGTGAGGACAGAGGACAGGGGAGACAGGTGAGGACAGGGAGATAGGTGAGGATGCGGGGGACAGGTGAGGACAGAGGACAGAGGAGACAGGTGAG